AAAGCAGGGGCTAAAATACGGAGACAGGAGAGGGCGTGCGCGTTCACGTGGAGACGAGGGGGCAACGAGCGGGCAAAGGCTGGCAAACCGCTCTGCCTGACAAGGGTTTAAAGATCAAGTGGCAAATTAGCGTAAAATAAAATAGGAGGCTGGATTTAGCCAGGCCTCACACTCCTAATTAAAACATTTTTTTCAGTCTCCAGACACTGAAATGACATTTGCTTCAGTGCTTTGTGTAAAGTACATATTTGCTACCTGAACTGAATCCCATAATTTTAGGTTTTAGAAGGGTAGAATGAATGAATGAATGAATATTCTAATGTTAAATATTCAAAGTCAGAAATATTCCAAATTTGCTTGGTTTTGTTCCCTCCTGACTTGCATTTGATAAAAGTCTTATCTTGCAAAAGCAAACCCTTACAAGGCTACACTACGCCCTGCACACAAAATGCTTTCCACAGTTCCCAAGTCGGAAATATTCCAAATTTACATGGTTTTATCATCTCACAATTTACACTTGCATAACACCTGAATTGTTCCAGAACATTCACCTCTTTTGTCTCTTATTCTCACTGCCCTGACCTCACAGTTGCTCAGGAGAACTCTACCGGCCTGAGATGTCTGTGTGTTGGGGAGGGAGCATTAGAGGACCCCTGCCACTGTTCCCATTGAACCAAGAAAGTGGGGAGACCTATGTGTCCAGAACACAGTAGATACAACTGGGAATGGAGGTCCAGCCTCCTAACATTCTCTTCTATGCTCTATCCGCAAAACCACCTGGCTTTCCCCAACAGTCGCCACTTCTAACGTGGAATGTTATAAGAAAGAATAACGGTGAAATGCAATGGTGGACAAATACCCTTTAGGTTTGCTCTAAGCTGAAACTTCCAGTAGCTGAGCTCCTGTCATGAAATGATAAAGTCAGCTTATGCAGCTGCTGGCTTGGTTTCAGTTCCTTCCTGACTTACAGTCGATAGAAATCTTATCTTCCAAAAACAAACTCTTACCAGAGTACAGCTGGCATACTAAATGCCTTAAATAGTTTCCAGGTCAGAAAACTAAATATTCTAAGTGTTAGAGTGTTTCACCATTGCGATGACCATGAAAACAGATCGATAAATTTCTATGTGGAAGTTCTGCCCAGCTTATTTGTGGTAAAACTGGAACAAAAACTTACATCCACTGATTTTTAATCAATGCTTTTTCTGCTAAACCTTGCTGTTTTATATGGAATGAACATACAAATGGGGAGCTTGCCTATTCTGAATGATGTTTGGAGAAGTCTATTGCCATGAAGCAATATTTTAAAGGAATTATTTAGTTTTGCTCTTGAACAAAAGGCTTGACAAATTCAGTCTGTGTCAAGGTGTAATAATATAGCCAGATGTCCATCTGTCTGTTGTCACTCATTTTTTTTTTTTCCATTTTGGAAGGGTTTTAGTAAGCCAAAGTAGCCAATTAAGATTTAGAGCAACTGAAATTTCTAAAGGGTTAAGTACTTGGCATGATAACATTTGAGCCTAGTAGTGCTGTGAATGTTTTGTTTGAACTCTCCAGTCAATAGCTCTTAAAGAAAGTCACAGCCTGTTAATGAGTGCAGTTAGCGCGCCGGGTGTCCAACACAAGATTCTTATGTCACCTTTATCTAGAACTAGAACAGCTTCAGAAAACAATTCGCTATGAGCCTGGTTTGCTTGAGAAATAACAACATATACAATTTGCCACATTTGATGTTGGTATTTCTTGTAGTTTTGACTGAGAAAACTTCTTTTCCTCCCCCAGTGGGTTTCACTGTAGGCACTTTCAAGAGTTGGCTCCTTGGTGTGTGAAACACGGTGGAACAGCTCTGGTGGAAAATGGGGTTACAGGCCTGGACCCTCAAACCCCAAGTCCACAGCCTACTGAGGGCAGCTTTAAGGAACTCCACAGAAACTTAGCTTGAAAATCCTCAGTCTACAAATGAGTTTTTGAATTGCAGGTTGGGATCCCTTAGTGCAAGAGTTGGTAAACTTTTTCTGTAAAGGGATAAAGAATAAATATTTTTGGCTTTGTGGGCCACATGGTCAGTCTCTCTTACAACCCTTTTACTCTGTCTACGAGCAAAAGCAGCCATAGACAATAGGTAAACCGAAGCATAAATGAATGAGTATAACTGTGTTTTAAGAATGAATTATGGACATTAAAGTTTTAATCTCATATAATATTTACATGTTGCAAAATATTTTTCTTTCGATTTTTTAAAAAGCACTTAAAACTGTAAAAACCGTTCTTAACTTGCAAGCTGTACAAAACCAGACAGTGGGCTGAGTTTGGCCCACAGGCTATAGGTTCCTGGCCCCTGCGTTCGTGCAATTAGAATCTCTGGTTGTGGAACTCAATCATCGTACTTTTTAGAGCCCCTCAGATGATTCCACAATGCAGTCAAGAGAATTAATTCCTGCATTAAAGGGCATGAAATCAGTTCACTGGGTCGTCGCTGACATTAAAAAATTAAATTGTGTGAAATAGAAGAGAGTACATCGAACTGCACCACACATGGTAAAGACGGTTTTTCTTTTGCGAAATTTTATTTCATACGTATGAGTTTATGTGTCCGTCTCTTTGCACAATGAGTTGCAGTGTAATTCACTATGTCTTAATGAGACTTGACTATGTCTTGAGGTTGATACACCTGGTTATATACCCTATCTGAGTACCTGGTCTCCAGAGAGCTGGGGGAGTCAAGAGTCCATGATGTATCTGAGATCCATTCCAGGCACCTATGAGCTGTTGGCTAGTTGGCTCCAGCCCAGAAAAATCTTATTCAGCTTGTATTGGGTCCATAAAAACAGTTAAAGTTTCTATGTGTGTTAAACCATTAAAATCGTTTGGGAGTTCTGAGAGAGTATGTTTTTAAAATCGTAAAGTTAGCCAATGGATAATTACAAGTGTCCTATCCACCTTTAAAACGTATAAGAGGATAAGGGTAAATAAACTATAGCATCAAAAGATTAGAAATAAAAAATCATTTAATAAAGTATGGGATAGAGATAATAAAAAAGATACTAAAAGTCAGTCGTGAATTCAGATATGGATTAAATTTCTGTATTAATGACAAAGGACTCTAGATTGAGTAAAAATAAACAAGAAAACATAAAAACCCAGCAAGTATATACTAGATCACAAGGAACTCAAATAAAACATAAGAATGTAAAACGTGTAAAAAAAATGCAAAAGAATATTAAACAGATTAAAATAAACAAAAACAGAAACTATAACTCTGATATTAGACAAAGTAGAATTAAAGGAAAAGGCATTTAAAAAGACACAGAAGACTAATTTATATTGTTAAAGGATATGTTACACAATGATTCTTAAGTAAATATGGACCATTATATGCCAATAATGTAGCAACAGGAAATATAAACCCAAAGAAGAAATTAGCAGAATAGCAGCAAGAAAATTTAATAGTTTTCTCCAATTGTGATAGATCAAGTAAACAACAAATAAACACTGAAAAAATCTGAAAAATATCTGCCTTGCAATCACAAGTGATTGACGTATACTTCTTTTGGGTAATAAATCAACGAGGGAAAACTTTGTCATGTGTTCCCCACATTCCCATACACTCATTTTTAAGTGACATTGCTGAATTGCTTGACAAGATGTTTCTGAGATCTGTACCAAGAGGCAAATTTTTATTATATGAGATTATTATTAATATTGCTAGATGTTAAATAATTGTGGTTATTTAGGAAATTGTCCTTTTTATTAGGAGATGCATGTTAAAATGTTTAGTGTCATGATGTCTGTACTTTACTGTCAAATGACACAAGAAAAGTATATGTATTTATATACTAATAGATAAAGCAAATATGGCAAATTATTCACAATTATTAAATCAAGGAAGATACTATTTGAAAATTTGTTTAAGTTTTCTTTGATTTTTTTCCATGTGCTTAAAATTTTTCAAAATGAAAATTTGGAGAAAAGAAATACGATAAAACAGTTTATCATATTCTTTCACCTATTCTTGTTAATAAAAAAAAACCTCTTCTAGTACAATTGCAATAGACAGCTACTTCTAAATATCTTCCATACTTACAACTCGCATATAGTAGTGATTAATAAATTATTTTTGAATAAAATGGGCAAAAATTTATTTAGCTTTTCGATAGCAGAGGCTCATCTGTATACACAAATAAATTGCAGAAAACTTTTATGTATAACAAATATAGATATAAAGATCTTAAAACAAAATAGTAAATGCAGCACAATACTAAAAGAATATTCTATGATAGCCAAGTGATTTATACTAGGATAGAAACAATGAAATATTACAGTACTCATTGATATAAATCTTCCCTTCGACATATTGAAGAATAAAAACACAGTGATATCAAGAGAAACTAATAAGATTAACAGGCATTCCTAAAGAAAAAAAACCCAAAAGTTTAAGAAGCGTTCCTGTTAGAATTGGCATAACAGATATTATCTCTCGTAACCGTTAGGAAATTTATTTTTATATCATTAAGCTATAGCAGTCAACATCCAAAGTTTCAACTGTGATGCAGAAAAAGTATTTTATAAAATTCAATATTTTTTCTTGATTAAATCCCTTAGTTCAGGACCAGTGGGAAATTTCTTAACATGATAAGGATTATTTACTGAAAACAGCAGACATCATAATTAATGGTGTGACACTAATATAGACAGACTCAAGACAGGAATGACTGCGATCATGATCATTATATAATATTGTTTTAGAAGTTCTCACAAATGCAATATGATAAGTAAAGGAGTGGCTATAAATATTTATTTCAAGCAAAGAAACGAAATGATCATTTTTGTAGGGAATATGATTGCCTAATTTGGAAACTGAAAGACCAACTATTGTATTAAAATAAAGGTTAATGATGCCACTTATAAAATGATTATACATAAAACAATAGATCTGTCTTAGGCCACCAATAAACAATTTTAAAATATAATGAAACACGTTTTAATTAAGATAACGAGATATGTAAAATCCCTCTTAAAAAATAAAATATATAAAATTTATCTGACATTTACTACAGTAATTTTTTTCAGGATTTGTTTCAAACTCTTTGGAAGACATTAAAGAAGATACGACTCAATGAAAAAATATGAAATATTCCCTATTCAAAGATTTACTACTATAAAATGTTTTATTTTCTGTGAGCTAATATTATTCATTTAATTCTATTCTAACCAAGTAACACTGGGAATATTTTGACGCTATATGCTGGATAACTTTTCCAAAGGATTCTACAACTCATCTGAAGAGATAAGATTTCTGGCTTCCAGCCAGGGCAGACTAGCTTTTTGCAAACCAGGCTTCCTGTTCAGAACAAGTAAGAAAAGCAGAGCAAATCTGAAGCCTCTAGCGAGGGTTTCAGAGGCTACCAGGACAAAGGTGCTTGGGGTGAGGAGGGGAATGTGGAGAGGTGAGCGTGACATTGGCCACTAGCTTTCATTTGGGGCCTGAGAGACTGTCAAGCTTATCAGAGATTTTGGTGGTCTCACAGAACTAGGGGAACAACAAATGGGGTTCAGGGCCCACTGAGGAGGAGGAGCCACAGCAAACAGCAAGTTGTTGTCAGGGTCCTCCAAAAGACTACTCCCTAAACAATGGCCAGCCTTTAAAAAGACCAAATCTGTTGGGGTCTAACCCGATGGGGCTTTTTCTGTAGACCTACATCGCTGGAAATGCCTCATAGATTAAATACGTGCCTTCCTTCACTCACAGACCTATGTGTTAAATCTGTGGGAAGGAACTACATGACAGCTGCCAAAACTATGAAAGATGTAATAGTTAATTTTTTTAAATTTTAGATATTGATGTAGACCAGTGATCCTGTACTATTCCAGGGTGTGATAGCTTAGGAGTGGATATGATTTGAACTTAATCATGTTCAGAGGGTGTCTGAAATTGAGAACTAGGCAGATCCACCTACTGGGATCCTAATCATGGCCCTCAAGTAAACGGAAGGGGTTGGGTACCAGCGACTACAGGTGGGGAGTTTTTGAAGTATGTCCGTATTCAAGTGGAGATCAAAGAAACCTAACTAAAAGAACTGTGGACTGACGTGACAACTGGATTAAGCAAAACTTATTTTTAAAAGGGACGAAGACTCAGGAAGAACTAAGACAGTGGAAGGAATCACAACATGGCAACTTCCTTAAATAAAAATTTTTAAAAATAATTGTGCCTATGGTACACATAATAAAACATTTGTACTTTTTGTAGGAAAAAAAAAAAAGAGATTGAATCCTAGTTGCCACTCGGCTCAGCTGCTGAGTGGATTAAGATGAGTTTTCCTTCCCCTGACTCCCCACTAGAATCCAGAACCGGACCTGGCGCTGGCTCGCCTCACTTCATGCATGTCGCCCTAATCCTGATTCTGATGGATCCCAGCTATATTTAGATTTTTAATATTTTATTCACGTCGGTCTTTTTGAAATTAATTTAGAATTTTTAAAGTATTGCATTACAATATAATATCTATTTTCAAGACTAAGGTTTGTGTTGCCTCTTAAATTTTGGGCCTGAGGCGAGTTCCTCACTTGCTTCACCCTAATTCCTGCCTTGAATCCTCCACTTGAGATGAGTGAATTCTACTGCATGCGAATTACATCTCAGTAAAGCTGTTAAAAAAAAATAACATAGAGAAATGACCTTCACTGGTAATCAAGGAAATAAAAAAATTAAAACATAAATATACTGTATCTTTCACTTGTCCTATTGGCAAAAATAAAAAGACTTTTGGCACACAATTTGGCAAGAGGGTGCTGAAGCAGATACTCTCAAAATTTATGATGGGGAAGCAAATTTGGCAATATTCATCAAAACCTTTATAATGTGCATACTCTGACATGGAAAGATGAGTCTACAAGGATGTCCATCATGGCATTGTTAAAAAGCGTATAAAGTAAGAACAACCTAAATATTCAAAAGCATGGCACAGGCTAAGTAAACCATGGTTTATGCATCCGATGTAATATTGTGAAGCCATTAACATGTTTTACAAGTGTGTTTACTAATACGGAAAAAGATGCTCTTTGAGTGAGGAAAAGACAGGATTCAGAATACTATAGAGCAATTTTTAAGTATCTATTTATAAACATATCGAGAAAAAAAATCTGGAAGATTTGCCCCAAAATGTCAACAGTACTGATTTCTGGAGAGCAAAGTAGGAAATGAATTGTTTTCCTCTCTTGGGGAAGGAAGTAAAATGCATTGCTTAAGGATGAGCAACAGACAAATCCCCTTGCTTTGCACTCAGCTTTGCTGCTCGCTGATTTTAGGCAAGTTTTTAGGCCTTTTTGAACTTCTGTTCTTTGTACAATGGACATTATACCTACTCCATATTGTTCTTGTCAGAATAAAATGAAATAATCTATGCAAAGGACTTGGCATAGTGCCCGGTATGTGGAACGTATTCGATAAGAACTATTAATAGCATCAAATTCTCTTTTTTCTTTAATAAATATGTGGAAACTTAAAAGATATGCCTTGACCCTATTAAACAAATACAATATAAGTCCAACCATCTTTTCTCTTCACACGTGGTTTTTGCAAAGTAGAGAACTCATTTTCTCTCACCGGATAAGTTTTTTGTATCATTGGATTCCCAGTAGCTAAGGTCATACATAGGTGGTACAAAGGTAACATGGAAGACCTGTCATTGCTACCTGTTTGGAAACGGTTGAGGACTATTAACAAGTTAAGATCACAGGAAGTTAAGAATACACGGGCTTAATGTTACCGATAAGGAGGTCTCATTTTCAAATTGGATTGGAAGAAATACAGTTCAGCAGAAAACCTTTAACTTGACTTCTTCCCCCCAGGTACTACCAGGAATCTAAGCTTCTCTTCCCTGAGTCAAGCAAGTGATAGAAGTCTCTCAGTGAATGAAATGTCCTGAATTTCTATACGGAGCCACATTTCTGATACTCTTAGCTACTGCAGTGTGGTCGTTGGAAACGTGGGTATCATAACAGAAACAAACTATACAAAAACAGAAAATGGGCTAATTATGAATGATGGGTTATTTCATATGTTCACAGTCAATTATTGCTCTTTCTCTACCAGATCCCTGAAATATGTTTCAACATATGTTGTAACCCATTTTGTTTGAGTAGTAATAAGCCATGATGAAATTAAGGCTATCTTGGTTTTCCTCTGTTCACATTCGTCAGCATTGCTTAATGATAATGACGTCTTAGAAAACGGATTGTGTTTGTTCAGTGTACTAGTAAAAAATTTTTAAACTTTTTCTGATTACAAGTTATGATTCTCTTTGCAGAAAATTTAGAAAATATTAAAAAGCAGAAAAAAAAGTTACCTGCAATCCCCGTGCCCAGAGATAACCCTGAGATTTTTTTTTCAGTATTTTAGCTTTAGTTTTAATTTAGTTCATTTATCATAAAAACCAAACAAATAGGTACTTATTAAATATATGAATCTGATAATAATGGCTGGAAATCTATTACTCATTTGCTTTGGTTAATAACGTACCCAGTGTTTCATTTTTAGAGCTCGCATTCACTGGAGAGCTTTGGGTAGTATCCGAGGATTCCACAGTTGTTGTAGAAATACAACCTATAAAGACAAGTTGGGGGAAATTGCTTAAAATGTGCTTCCTAAATAGGTTCATAGATGTTTTCAATAATCCTCTAGAAACCAAAGTAAAAATAAATTTATCACAAGTATGTTAAATTCAATTTCACGATTTAGAGTTAGTGTAAGCTAATTTTGAGATACCGTCCATTCTTTTCTGTCCCTTAGGATTCCTTCAAAGTAATTCATAGTGGAGTGTCCATTGCTTTCCAAAAACCCAATTTCACACTGAGCTCAAGAGATTTATAGGTTTGAGAATTAGTTTCTAGCTCATTTTAGGCTGACCTTTGAGGGCTCATTGAAGTTTAGAGATGAAAGGGATTTTAGATATCATCTATTCTGTGTTTTATTTAATAGGCACAGGAAACTGAGGCCCACGGGGGTGCTAATTGGTTTTGCACAGTTAAATAGTTGGCAGCAAAGTTCTGGTTGTCATCTCCGTAACTATTATTTCTTGGGTGCCTACTATGCGCCTAGCAATGTGTGGGATACAGAAATGAAGACCCAAGTTTTACTTTTAAGAAATGTAAATAGTTTTGTGGTCCCTGAAACCCAGCTCAGAACTCTTTCTGTAACTTAAATGGACAGAAAGGTTCCTTTTTTGGGTCACTGGAGAAAAAGTAGATGCCTTGTTTCTTTGTGTCATTCTAAGTGTGTGCATTTTAAGCTAGTGAGCCTGCAGGTGTATATAGTAAGATGCACTACCTACATCTTAGTAGGTAGTGTAATGCTCTACCTACAAAGATTTCTCATTTTGCCTAATCAAATGAAAAAATATTCTTTTTTTCCTCTTCCTCCCTCTCTCCCTTCCTTTCTTCCTTGCTGATTCCATGAATATCCCACTGCATGTCAGGAACTGTGCTAGATTCTGGGGAGACATTGATGAATAAAATAGACACGATAATACCTGTCCATTTGAATATTCCAATTAAATAAATATATTATGACCTAAAATGAAAATTTTGCATGATTTTTCAAATTAAAATCAGGAATATTGGTTTTTGACATAATTTCTTAGTTGAAGTGATATACTACTATATTCTTAAATTCTTACTTTCAGATTCCGATTTTTCAAATAAAAATTTTGGCTATTCCTTATGCACTAATTTCTCTCCTGTTTCAGAACTTTTGCCCTGTCTTTCCCCTCTTCGATGTCCTTCCCCTAGAATTTGCAAGGCTGGCTTCTTCTCATTGCTCCACTCTCAGCATAAATGTCACTTCCTAGAGAAAAATGTCCTGCTACCTTTCCTAAAACAGCCCCTAGGTTATGATAATCACTTTACCTGGTTTGATTCTCTTTGTCTTATTTTTCACTGTCAGTTACTTTAATAATTGACTCGTTTTGCTAACTGTCTGTGCTCCCTCCCGCCCTTACAGAAACTGAATGTCCCATCCACGGACACTGGTTAGCTTCACTGTGCTGGCCTCGGTGTTCAGAACCTGACAGAAGCCCTGAATGAACAGATGAGTGAATGACCGGGTATCAAATTATTTACAAAAAACTTACTTTCCATATGGCAGATGACATCTGAAATTAGAGATAGTGGCTTTAGCCTTAAGATTACTGGAGAAAGCAAAAACGATCCCTTCTTTTTGCCATAGCCGACAATATTTAATGTTCTTCATACTCTTCCTCATCTTCTTCCCCTCTTCAGCTAATGAATAAAGGGGAGCAACCTTGTTTCCATACATTTCTGTGACTCTATAAAGTCGTCACATCAAGAGAGTTTCTTTGAAGGGCTTCAGAAGATGCAAAGATGACGACAGCACTGGCCACGAATGCCAGGGGAGCCTTCAGAGTCATAAGTCCTCGATGACCTCCTCATGAAGTGTCATTTAAGGCCTTAATCCACTACCTGCTTGAGCCGGTGTAGACGTGAAGAATTTATTTCTTTTCCAGGAATTCTTTCCAAATTTTGTGCAGCTCGAAGATGCACAAAGATTTTCCAGCTCTTGTTCCTCCCCCCTCCCCCAAAGGATAATGTGTCTATTTTGATTGAGTAACCACAGTCTGCCCCTGAGGCAATACAAAGAATACCTCTTCTCTCTTCTGTGTAAAACTCTACAAATATTTGAATATAGTTAAACATTACACCACCTACTCTGTTTTTTATTTTTTCTTCAAGCTAAATGTTTTCATAGTTTGCTACTTGAAAAAAGTTAGAGAGGCTTTTTCAGTCTTCTGTTTTTCTGCAATTTTTCTCTTCTTCCCGTCTTTTCAGAACTCACCATTGCATACGCGAGTTTGTTCCCTAGTCTATAATTATCATTAGAGTTAAATACTTATTTAATACTTTGCCACGTGCTAGGCACTGGAGTGAGTACATTACATTAATTACTTTGTTTCATCCTCATTACCATGAGGCAGGGACCAAGATTGTCTACATTTCGTGGATGAGGACATTGAGGCAAAGAGAGGTAAGTCACCTGATTTTGTTGTTCCCCAGCCTGTCACGGGTGGAACCAGAGTTGAACCCAGTTTTCTTTGTCCCTCATGCCGGTGCACTATTTTACGCCCTAATGCCCTAAGGTATCTTGGCAAACACTGGATCTCTTCTCCGTCATCTACAGAGCACCCAGGAGGTCCCTGGCACTTGGCTCTGACGTGAGTTAAAGCAAATATCTGAATATCTGATGGGCTAAATACGTTTCAAATGACTGCCTCTTCTTATTTATGTGCTGGGCACTAGAATTTCTAACACATAAACACTGCATTTTGAGAAGACGTTTACCATAGCATCCTCAGGAAGAGACCAAAAATAATGGTAATTTAATACAACTTAAGAACATCTCTACATTATTATTATTTTTTATTTATGAATTGGTTTAGATTTAGATCCCTAAACCACATAACACCTCAGCCAACAGAGTTATTTTTTCTTTTTCCTGTCTCACACCTCAGTAATGGACCCACAGAGAGACAGACATATCCTCCATGGTTTCAGAGTTCATGCTTGTGGCTTGTACCTTTCCGACAGGAGAAGGAAGAAATTATAATTTTCTGGAAATTTTTTTACAAACCAAGGACGGTATATCCACCATCACCCTCATTTATGACTCTTTAATTTAGAAGTTAACTTCATTTAAACACAAACAAAGCAACAAATTTATTCATCCAGAAATAGTTCTCATAATATTTGATAAAATCCTTTTCATTTTAGCAATACTGGAAAGCTGTGACCCAGCCACGATCACCAGCTCTCTGCTGCCATTTCCTCTACCTTGGCAGCTGAGTCCCAGTAAAATCCATCTAGCAGACTGGGATCTGATATACTGCTCATTTATTTATTCATTTAAGTAAGGTAGAACTAAAGAAATGGGGGTAGTTTATATTTTAATCTATAATCTCATGTCCTATACAACAGCATCAAGCTAAAACAAAAAAAATTCCACTTACCTAACAATAGTACTCCAATTATTACTTTTTCGTACATCCTGAAATCATGAGCTGGCTCACAAGTCAGTGCAAGAAAGCCACCAGGGCGGACTGCAAGTGGCCGTCTGCGCCCCAGCCTGCCCGCTATCTTTCAGGCCCACCTTCCCGAGGCCTTCGCAGTTGATAGGCCTGGGTGGCATTTTGAATTATGCAAAGTTGTTAAACACCTGTCAATAAAGATATATGGACATCTGTTTAACTGGGAGTGTGAAAGTGTTAAGTAAAATCTTCATTTCAAGAAACTGGCAGCTACATGTTAAATTTACTTTGCATTAATTAAGTGGGCGCTGCAAGGTAGCAGCCTGGTAACTGGACATACAAGAGCTCAACTGTGAAGGCCTGAGGCCAGGACCTGAGCCAGGCTGCTGTGGCTGCTCTGGGGTTAAAAACCTTTCATGTTTAATGTGAAGATCCCTGGGTGCCAGAATGGAAGTGACTTCTTACATGTGAAATAAATGTAACTGAGAACTTTAATGACTATTTGAGTACTCTGAGGTTTGAAAAAACTCTCAAACTCATGACAAGTCATACAGCAATGGAAGAATATGTGAGACACGAGAAATCTCTAATTCAGAATATAGAGTTTAAACTGAGAGCTGCCCACACAGCTGCAGAACCCGAGAGTCATTTCTCTCTAAAATGAGTTAATGCCAAGACAATAAATATGAACACTCAAAAACAAAAACAAACGAAAACCCTTATCGTAAAGTGGGATAACATGAGGGCTATGACATTCTGAGGAAGACCAGTTTCAAAGGGAGACAAAACAGAAAACGACATGAGTTAGATGTGAAACAGCTCAAAAGAAGGTGACTGGGTTCTCCACCTAAATTGTCTTACTTCGTATAGGAGTTGTTTGTGAAAGGTGTTTGTGAAAGAAAACCAATTTGCTAAGTCAGCAATTTGTCAAATATATTTAATTTTGTACCCAAAAATATGGTTTAAAAAAAAGTGTACGAAGGGATGTGTGGGATGTCAGGAAACTGGGCCACAGAAAAAAATGTCATTTAGTGGGGAAAAGATGTATATAAATATA